TGGGGAATTCTGGGAGTTGAAGTCCACACATCTTCAAGTTGCCAAGGTTGAAAAACACTGCATTAAATGAAATAACTATATATATATTTTTAATTATCAAGGTCTTGGCAATTTCCCAGCTGCATTACTTTGGTGCGTGCTCCATGAAAGTTATCTTTGTAGATTGTCTGGCCATTCCTGTTTATTTAGAACAAAGGTGCAAGGTTAATCATTGAGGCTAAGCAAATACCACTTTGAAACATCCAGAAACAGACTAGAATCACCGTGTGCGAGTTGGGCGGCTCTATATGTTTGTTTAATAAATAAATAATTTAGCTGATCAGGATCACCTTCTTTTCCCAGGCTCAGTCCGAAGTTCTGCTTTGGAGCCTTAAGATCTTTCACAATATGCTGTCCAATGCTGCTAAATCATTTGACCCAGATTTTTAAGATCTTCAAAAGTCCTTTTCTGGGTTCCTCCCCTGGGCAAAAGCTGTCAACCCGAACAGCTGTTTTAGTGGAGGCTTCCAGCTAAAGAATATCCTCCCTATACCTGGCATTATTTTTGTGCCGTTTTGCAGCGAGGTGGAAAACGATTTATTCTCAGGGGCCTTTAAATTCACTTCATCCAAGCTATTTTTAATGCTGTTTTTACCATTTTACCTGTTTATTTTAGTTTTGATTTGCGTTTCTCTTTGCTGTCAGTTGCCCTGAGGACAGATAAATGTTTTAAATTTAATGCTTTAAATGTTTATTTGAGTATCCATCAGTTCTAAGACAATTAATAAGCTCCAGAGCAAACAAGAGAGCAGCTAATGATCTCTCTCTCTCTCCTCCCTCCCTTCCCTTCCCACCCCACATCAGTGTACCTAAGTTTTGCTAACTTGTTTGGGCACCCAAGTGCCAGTCCGTCTTTCTGGTAGCCAAAATGCAGCAACGCACCTATAAAGTTAAATAGCTAATAACCACTACTTTTTCTTTCTGGCCACACAACTCCGCAGCCCAAGGAGCATCAGTCAGGATGAGGGCTCTCTGATCCGGGCTGCAAGGAATCTGGACGACCACCGGGCGACAGCAGAGAGAGACAGAGAAATTCTTCTCATTTTTACAGCCCTCTACAAATTTGTGGGAAGAGTTACATATCACGCCGAGACTCAACTGCGCTAATCCTCTTCGAAATGCTATGCAAGGTTGCATGTGGTTCATAGAGGAGCTGGATGGAAATCCCAGAGCTGCGCTGTGGTCTAACCTGGGAAAAACATCCCAGGAGGGCAGTTGCGAACCATTTCTGTACTGCTGCCATAGGCAAGGCATGTCCATGGGATCGGCGGAGTTCCACTGGACTCGAGGGAGCCCCTGCCTTTCAAGAGCTCCGGTAGCAGATTTTCCTCCAGCCCCCGTTAGTCTATAATCTCCCTGACTCTCAGCCAGCCTGAGAGGCACAGCTGGAAGACCCCCATGGGGGAAGGCTATACTACAATCCCCAGCGTGCCTTGTTCCTTCCCTCCTTCGCTCTCTGACTGGCTAGGGTGCTTGATCGAACGCACGCAGCCGGCCAATGGGAAACGGCCTAGTGTCCCGCGGCCAGGCTGGAAGAGGCGGTATTGGCTTAAGCGGCCAGTCTCTCCCCGTGGCGGGCGGCAGGATGACGGTGCCCAGGTGGGAGCGCGCGGCCAGGCTGCTGCTCTGCGCGGCGGGGCTGGCGCTCTCTGTTTACGCCTTGCACGTGGAGACTTCCAAGGAGCGGGACGCCGCCTACCGGGCCATGTGCGACATCAGCGCCGACATCAGCTGCTCCCGCGTCTTCACCTCCAGGTCGGTGGCGCCCCGGCTCCGATCGGGCGGTTCCTGAGCCCCTCCCACCCTCTAGGTTTGCATGCCCAGGGGAGAGCCGGGTTTCACTAGGTGGGGGAGTCGGGCTCGTGGATTTCTCTGGAGGAAGCGCGGAGAGTCGCAGCTCAGGCCGGGGGCCTGGAAGAGAAAACCCGACCGACTTCCCCACGTTCCACCTTGAAGCGTTTAATCCCTCCAGGAATTAAGAGTTGGAAGGTGCAACATTGCCCGCTCTGGCCTTGCGCGCCTCGGCGGAGGATTAGGGCAAGGGCGCCTTCGAGTCGAGCTTGGTTTATGGACATTCTGTAATTTTCCTGGCAAAAATCCGGAAGTGGCTCGGCTGTTGCCTTCTTAAGGAGTTTTCTGATCTCCCAATCGAGCCTGCAACCTTGGGATTCCCTGGTGGTCTCCCATCCATGTATTAACTTGTCCTGACCTTGCTTAGCTTCCAAACCCAAAAGAAGCCCGATGGGTTCTGCCGTTGGCGAGACCTTGGCAGCTCTTCCTTTTCCCTAGCACAGCCTCGCCAAACCTAATTCTCTCCCTGTGTGTTGGGGATGGCTGAGGCTAGAGGCGACGCTTTCATTACAATAACCAAAGCACGCTTGCAACCCTCGTTGGGTGCATGTGCAACACACGGTGCATGTTCAGAAGGGGTAGCGTTGGCATCCCCTAAGAGCAATGCTGGTTTTGTCGTTTGTTACCCCTGCCTGCTGTGGTTTCCTCTGGCCACGGGTCTCCCAATGCATCAGGAGGAGGGCAGTGTTCAGGCACCAATTCCCCTCTGGTCTGCAGTATTTTGCTTAGGACACGGAATTAAGAAAGCTGGCTGAACTGCAAACGGCTGAACCAAACTGAAGGATGAGAACAGCTTGGGGAGTGGGGGGCTCTTAACTGTGCAAGTTGAGGGGGATCACCCTTGGGAGAAGCCGTGGGGAAGGAGATGAAAGTGTCTTTTTAGACCCCCTTTCTACATTTCTCAGGAACATCTGTCAGTTCCAGTGTGGGAGAGAGACCAAGAAGGCCAGGCCATAGCCTGATCTACCCAGAAGCTCTCTGTGCATATACAGAATGCATTTCAACTCACCCCTAGGTGACCACATTGTCACCCCAGCACGCCTGATATTAGAGAGTGGAGTACTGTGCCGTGTCTTGTGATCTGAGCTTTCGGTCTTCTGCATCTGTCCTCTCACTACAGAGAAGAGGTTCAGAATTACACAGAGTTTAGGCTAGACTCTCCCTGGGGTTCCCATCCTCTACTGTATTGGGAAATGCCTGGGCTGCAGGGGAGGGCTTGTGCGTTTGCACCATTCTCCATGCGAATGAAAAGGACAGCCTCTTTGTGCAGAGAAGGTTAGATTGTTATGGAGAAAGCTAGCTTCATCCCAGGCTAGAATAGAGCCAAAATCCTGCAGGATTTGATAACGTGGCTCCCATCTCCCCTGCTCTCTCTGTTCATCCACGTTGTGTTTCCAAGTGAATCCTTGGCTCCTGGCCCAGGACTCTACTCTTCAATTTAGCGGAAGGCATTTCCTATTGTGGTCTCCCAAGAATCTGGTTAGGCTCCAGTATAATTCCCAGTGAATTTGTGGAGGGGGGGGTGCAGGGAGGGAGTCTTCCCCATCAGAACCAGCATTTTATCCGTGGTGTGAACTCCCTCTACCTTCTAGCCCCGCTGAAAAAGCCTGGATGGACTTTCTGATGGTTTTGCCCCAGCGAGAAATGAGTGTCTTATGCAGGGCAAGAGAGAAAAGAGCAGGAAAGGAGTTGGCAGAGTTTCCCATAATCTGCAAACATCGCGTTAGTGCTTCGGGAGCTACACTGGTTGCCAGTTGGCTTCTGGGTGCAATTCATGGTGCTGGTTAAAGCCCTGCATGGCCTAGGGCCTGGTTACTTAAGGACTGCTTATCTCTACTTGCCTCTCCCTGCCTGGTTCGGTCCAGCAGGGTGGGTGAGCTCTGGGTCCTGCTAACTGAAGAATGTGATCTTGGGGGACCCAGGAAGTGGCATGAAACAATCCTTTTCTGCCTGTCAAAAGATTCAAAACTGATATTACAGTGTCCTATACACAATTTGAACTAAGCCACTGTGTAGTCATGGGTTATTGAATAAACCACAGTATTGACTCAGCATGCTGAGCTCAAAAACGGCAGCCACATTTAATACAGTGTATGCTTTGAGTGAGACATTTGCTTTATTGCTGAGCAGGAATCCCTGTGTGGGGTCATGGAAGCAGAGAGCAAATAGATTGAGATCTGAAGGTGACCCTGGTCTATTTAATCAGGACTTGAATACCTAGCCTATGGTCACTATGGTCACTATCTGCTGGGCTCTCTGTCCTTTCTAACCTCCCTGGCTGCAGGAAAAAAAAAACTTTTAAAGAAGTTAATGAAAATCAAAGTTTCAGTCTTCATCAGCGGATTTATTTATTACATTTATATCCCACCATTTATATAGGAACATACATAGCACTCCCTCTTGTTTTTCTCCATAACAACCCTGGGAGGTAGGTTGGGCTGAAAGAGAAGGATTGCTTGGGAATTACCCAATGAGCTTTCAAGGCTGAGAGCAGATTAGAACTTGGATCTCCCTGCTCCTAGTCTAACACCTTTGAGAGAGAGAGAGAGAGAGTTTGGTCTAGCACAGCGTTTCCCAACCTTGGCAGCTTTTAGATGGGTGGACTTCAACTCCCAGAATTCCCCAGCCAGCCTGGTTAGGGAATTCTGGGAGTTGAACTCCACCTATCTGAAAGGTGCCAAGGTTGAGAAACCCTGGTCTACTGGTTAAGGCCCCAGGCTGGACAGCAGGAGACTGTGCGTTCTAGGCTTGCCTTAGGCATGAAAGCCAGCTGGGTGACTTTGGGCCAGTCATTCTCTCTCAACCCAACTCACCTCACAAGGTGGTGGTTATGGGGAAAGGAGGAGGAGGTAGAAGTATTAGGTATGTTCACCACCTTGAGTTGTTTATAAAAATAATAGAAGTGGGATTAAAAAAAAATCTAAAAAAAACCCTTCACCACTAGCAGACTTTATTTCCAACAGTGCTCCAGCTCCTGGGGATTGTTGGAAATATGTCTTTTCTGGGTGCCTGGGAAAAAAGGAGCAAAGGTTAATTGGAGGGATAGAGAGCAGTCTGAAGGGCTAGGCAAGGTGACTCCTCCCTACTGCACCCCAAAATGACAGCCAGTTGGTGAGTCCACCAGGGCAAAGTCTCAACATTTGAAATGTGCCCATGGATCCAGAATGCTTGGCTATCTCTGATGGGTGCTTTGCTAATATCAGGATTGTCATCCCTGTGAACTCCTTGGAGCATTTAGTAAAAGTCCTACACAATAAGAAAGTAAACATAACATTTCTTTTGAGTCAAATTCTGCTCTTGCTGACTTCATAGACAAATCCCTTAGTTTCTTGGTAGCAATATGGAAATGTTTCCCATTGCCATCTTCCAGGATGATTGATTACATGCCTTCAAGTCAGTGTTGATTCCTGTCAACCACATAGATAATCATCATGATGATCCATCCCCAACCTGGTCTTTCAGATCTTCCAACGGTGCACCCATCGCCACTATAACTGAGTCCGTCCACCTTGCTGCTGATTGTCCTCTTCTTCTCTTTCCTTCCAGTTTTCCTAGCAGTAGAGCCTTCTCCAGATAACTATGTCTTTGTATAATGTGTCCAAAGTAGGCTAGTTTGAGCCTGGTCATTTGTGCCTTGAGTGAGAACTCTGGGTTGGTTTGTTCAGTGACCCGTTTGTTTGTTTTCTTGGCTGTCCATGGTATTTTCAGGAGTCTTCTCCAGGACCAAAGTTGAAAAGCATCAATCCTCTTTATCCTGCTTCTTCAAAGTCCAACTTTCACTTTCTATGAAGTGCCACAGGGAAAACCATTGCCTGCATATCTTCCAAGATAGTGTGTTGTTTTTCAATTTCCCCATCTAGCTTCCAGTCCTGAGATTCCCTAGTAGACTCCCACCCAAGTCCCAACCAGTTTTGATTCTGCTTATTGTCATTGTAGTCATTACCCAGCGTTTCTTCTTCCAGGTGGGGTCGTGGTTTTGGCTTGGTGGCAGATCTTCTGGGACCTCACAGCCTCTTCAACCAGCCAAACAGTATTTTTGGGATTATTTTCTACATTCTGCAGATACTTCTGGGTGAGTAAAAGGCACAGGTGGGTGTGCAAGAGAAAGCATGATGGATGAAGTGAGGTGTTTTGAAGCGCGGTCTATCCTCTTGTCTTCTTTAAATCCAGATTTTTTTGTACCCCATTGTTATTGGTTAGATTGATATCCTGCGTTTTCTCCAGGAGCTCAGGATGGCTTACACTGGGGTCTTGTGAGCTAGGCTGGAGTGACTAGTCCGGGTCACACAAGCAGGCTTAGCTGGTCCAGTTTCTTCACATGTCTCACTAGCCAACGTTAGTTCATTGTCTTCCTTAGCAGAGGAAACCAGCTGGCTGTTTTATCTTCAGGCTTGCTCAGCTCTGTCAGATGTTCGCAATATCATTCTTGCTCGAATAATAAATCCCAGTAGAAAGGGATTTGGAACAGGAGCGCTGAGAAACAAATGGGAGATGGTAAATGCTGGGTGAAGTTCAGAGTCTGCAGAAATACAAAAAGGAAAATCTTAGAAAGTTTTTTGTAGGACAGAATGTGCTCAGTAGCCAAGGGATGTGATACAATCATTGCCCAAGAGATGCACAATGGGGACACCAAAGAAAAGGAACAGGGAGTGGTCTTTGGAGGAAGCGACTTTATGAGGATACTCCTTCAGGCAGTTCATAGGTGGGGATTGGCAACCCGTAGTTTACGTGGGAAAGGACAAGTGAGAAATAGAAGTAAGCTGGTTCACATGTTATGATAAATCATGGCTTGCTTAACCATAGTTTGAACAAACCACCATAAAGTAAGTTCACACAACCATGCTAAGCCCTGAACCATGATTCACACAAACCTCTGAGGCAAACCACCTTTAAGTCTTCCTCTAGTGCAGTGTTTCTCAACCTCAGCAACTTTAAGATGCGTGGACCTCAACTTCCAGAATTCCCCAGCCAGCAGGCTGGGGAATTCTGGGCATTGAAGTCCACGCATCTTAAAGTTGCTGAGGTTAAGAAACACTGCTCTAGTGTGTGAGTCCATTGATTTAAATTCTTCTTTTGCCTTCAACTCCTGGTTGACAACATCATTTCTGTCAAGTTGCTGAAGAGAAGTTAACCCTGGTCCTTCCTCATAGGTTTCTCCAACCACGGACTGGCAGCTATCGCTCTAGTGGGCTCTTCACTTGTCTCCATTGCTGGATCTCTCTACTTGGCCTACATCCTCTTTTATGTGCTCCACGACTTCTGTGTGATTTGCATCAGCACCTACGTCCTCAACTTTGCCCTCCTGCTCATCAACTACAAGCGTCTCGGCTACCTCAACCGTCCACAGCAGCCAAAGACGAAAGCCAAGAGGCACTGAATACCATGTCATCTTGGCCTGGACAGTCCCTGGACCTTGTTTTTGAAGATGACCAAGTAGGCTTACAAAGTTTGGAAACCATCTCTATCTTCTTTGCTCGGAGGGTCATGTTCTTCAGCGTGTCTCTCACCGTCCTTCGGACTCCAAACATCTCAGCTACATGATCTCCACCTCCTGGAACTAAAATGGAAGTTACCTTGCATTGTGCAAGCCAAAATCAAGCTCTTTTGATTTTACATCTTTTTAAATAGCATTTCTCCTTAGATTTAAATAGCATTTCTCCTGTATTGTTTTATACAGATCATTTTGTATGAGTACAGGTTATTCTTGATAACTTCAAAAGGGACCAATGGTGGAGTTCTTAGGGCTGGGTTAAGGGTGGGGGAAGGTTTGATGCAGGGGTCTCTGCAAGGGCAGCATCAACCTGGCAGGCAGGAGCAGGTGATTGATGCCCCCCCCCCACTTTTTCATATGCATTGCATACATCACATGCATGTAAAAAGAGGCGGGGCTTTATTATCCAGTTATACCTGCCATTTTGATGCCATTGGCCCCCATCCCTTTGGGATACCCCTGCTTAATACAAACTTTTGAAGATTTTGGACTATGATATAAATGTGTCTTCCCAAAGAACAGGGGCTGCTTAAACCAACACAATTTCACACTAATAATCAGGCCTGGTTTACTTTTCCCATCATTAATTTCCTTTCCCTGGTGCCCACCCTGACCTATTGTTTGGCAGACTGAAACAGGGTACCCCAAGTAGCAGATAGTGATGCATCATTACAAAAAAATAGCAAGTTGCAAATAATTATTTTCGTTACAATTAAAACACTACACATTGTAGATAAAACTGAGACCGGTCTAGGTTCATAGCCCAAATGACTATGTTTAATTGCATTGTAAAATGAAGATTATAAATAGGGATACAAAGCCATCTATAAACTATCAGTTTCCCCTGGCAAGAAACAAACTCCAAAGCATTTGTTTCACTCTGTATACAGATGTTCTTGCAAACCCAAATCCAGAGCTCTCAAAAATAAGTTCAAGGGCATTTCTCTTCAATTGTGAATGTACAGAAATTGAATTGTGACATATAAAGCCATTTAAAATATAAAGCTAATATGTTACATTAAATTTGATAAAGAGAGTTTAGATTATTATTATTTTAAACACTACACTGATTTTGATTTTCTGCGTTAGGCACCAAAAGTTTCCTGAGCCATTTCTGTGTATAACAAAAAATATTTGACAGCCACTTGGCTAATTTTTTGTTTCGTTTTATTAGAACCACTTTCTAGCTGATTATTCCTGTTGCAGAGAAAATTAGGCATCTCTTTTGTACATTATAATTAGCTTCATAACAAGCCACATCTATTCCCATTCATTTTTAGGTGGAATAACGAATGGAAATATTTGAAAAAAACTTAGGGCCATTAGCCATTAGAGCCACTTTGGTCCACTGGTTAAGGCACCAGGCTAAAAAGCAGGAGACGGTGAGTTCTAGTCCCGCCTTAGGCATGAAAGCCGGCTGGGTGACTCTGGGCCAGTCATTCTCTCTCAGCCCAATGCACCTCCCAGGGTTGTTGTTGTGGGGAAAATAGGACAAGGAAGGAGCATTAGGTATGTTTGTCACCTTGAGTTATTTATAAAAATAATAAAGGCGGGATAAAAAAAAGGAGAACAGTTCCTGTTCTCTCAGCCAGCAGCAGGGGACACTGTCTGTCCATTAATGCAATCAGCTCTGAAATTTAACTACTGTAGAAGTAATGTTTTATCCAAAAAATAAATAAAGGCATCAAAGGCAAAAATCCAGACTGGTTTTCCATCTAATTGACTCAGGACTCGTATGATCACAGCATAGTTACGCTTATGTAAAAGCAAACCCCATTTTCAAATTGCATCTCTGTCCTTTTGAACATTTTCTCCCACGTAAAAAGGAAAAAAAAGAATACCTTCTAAAATTCTGCCTTTCATCTGTTTTCGTAAATATTTGTACTGATATCTTTTTTAAATTTCCCCCAGGATCTTCTTGATTTATAAATAGTACTTTTTAAGAATGAAGAGTATTTGCATAAGCTGATTGATTATCTTAAAAATAGCCATTCAAGCAAAAAAAGAAAAAGATCTTGGAAGGATCATGAAAAGAGCAGGGCTGGAAACGTCAAAGTTGAAAAAAAAACTTTAAGGAAAAAGCACTTGGTGATGTTCCTAATTTCAATTTTGGAGTACATATTCAAAAACATCAAAGATCATTACACCCTCAATGCCTTGTTTGTGCCAGCAAACAAAATAATAAAAGAAATGTAGAGATTAATCATAGTAAATAGAATAAATGTAGAGATTAATCATGTGTTTCCTTGGCTGCAATACAATTTTTCTAAGTGTATTGAAAAAAAAAAAACCCCCCCCCCCCCCCCCGCTTTTGAAGGTTAATGCATTTCAGGACTCTTAGGAGTCATTGAAACAAACGCTTCATTATTCCCACGATCGTCCTTCACATTGCCATCGTTACAAAGAGTTCTCTGAATCGCTTGCTTCTAATACAGTACTACATTTCCCGTGGAGCTCGCCAGGCTCCTCCCATGTCGCGCGGGGCTTTCTGGGACTCGTATTTCTAGGAGCGCCTTTCAAGCTTCACGAAAGCTCACTTCCCGGACTGCATTTCCCATGCGGCATTGCTTCCTTTCTCTCCGTCAAAAACCGCCTGCCATCAGTTCCCCCTTTTTCTGCTAAGAAAAAGGCAGCTGGTTTAGTCCGGTCCTAAAGTGTGGAAACTACGGCGGCATTTCGACTTGGCGGTAAGATGCCTTTTAAGGAGCATACCATTGTGCTTGCGCAAGGGGGGGGCGGTCTAGGTTCTGCCTTCTTGTTGCCCCGGCACGGAAGGTAGGATGCAGCTTCCTGGTTTTTATTAGGAGGGATGCAAGCGCTAGGACGGAACCAGGGTTCGCCTTTCAGCCCAGGAAGCCGCCTGATGGATTTGGCAGGGTGGGAGGGAGGCGGGATCCAGGACTCCAGGTGCCCCCGGGAGGAAGAGCTGAGCGGGTGCGTTGCAGCACTGGAGAAAAGAGAGGAGGGTTCCCTTTAAGAATAACCATGGGTTGTGGAAAGCAGGGGGTGGGAAGGAAATTGGGGCACAATTTTTGTGACTATGGCGTTGGTAAAAGCAAAAAATTGAGGGCCACCACTGCAGGGCCTAAAGTGAAACATCTGGAGTAGAGGATGGAAGGGCGGCTCTCCTTGTCTTGATTCTCTTCCTGTTTCCTTAGTTACTCCCTTATTGATAGCATTCAAACGGTAGGTTCCTTGGGGCAGAGACTGGGGGTGGGGGGGAGAAGGCAGGGATGCTTGGGTCTCACTCCCATTGATGGCACCAGATCAGTTGTGGTTATCCTGTATCTAGGAGTCCGGAGGTACATTAGGACAACTCTGGAATTAAAGGGTTTGACTCCCAGACAAAATCCAATTGGTTAAATCAGGCCCAGAATGACAGGGCTGGTGACTGGCAGAAGCCACCTGGTCCCCTCCAGGCGTTAGATCTGTTTGGGCTGCCCTCCAAGACATCCTACCTTGTTCTTTTCCCCTTAACTTGCTTTAACCTGGAAATGTAAACAGCTAGACTTGGCAAGGAAGGGGTGACTGTTCCCAAATTCCTGGCATGTGGCAGCTGTTCCTATAAATGCAAACATATAACATTGAACAGTCACGACTGGGAAAAAAAATGTTTTTTCCCCAAGGGCCATGCCAGTGCTGTTCAGAATAATTATATGCAATACAGCATAATACATTCTATTACCTACAGAATAATTCTACATGTAATATAATACTTATAGAAAGGCAGACTAAAAAGCAAAACTAAACATTATAATATCAACTCTTGGAAGAGCCATCGTATTTGAGATCCGGGGGCTGGTGCTGGCAATTTGAAATTGTGTTTTCAAAACAAAATGTGTTGTTTGCTGCCTTAAATCTCTTCCTAAAGGCAAGACATAAATATTTGAATACGTGAGCCATATTTTCAAGTTAGTTGGCTTGGCATTCAAGCTAGCTGAAGCACCAATGAGATGACATTGCAGTAAGTTTCAGACTAAAAGCAGGCCCTGGAGCTTGATTAGCAGGTATTCCCTATGATGAGTAATAGTAGCTAAATTACTCTGAAAAGCATGTTGCCCAGCACTGCCAAATCTCTTATGTAATGTGCACCATAAGATGCTCTCAGCTCAAGGAGGCAGCGAGGCCTGTGGGATTTGGTCCTTGCATTTTATAATGTGCCTCTGGGAATGCTCTGTTAATGCTCTAAGGTTCCTTTGCAAGATGTGCTGAAATTGACGTGGAAAGGCGCCTTTGATTGCTGTCATTTAGCATGTGGCTTCGACCAAGGGAAGGACAGTGCTGGGTCTGGTCTCTTAGCACTCACATCTTGTCCTCGCTTCTATCAATTGTAAAATGAGAAAATTAATCAAAGAGATAATGGTTTAATAGACTAAAACTTTCTGCTGGTCTCAAAGTAATTTCTAGTTAAATATTAACTATCATGGAAACAGACGACTTCTTGAATTGTTCTTGCAAGCAGTGGCCTATTAACCTTTTTATTATGGCAATCTCAGCCTCTGAATTCTTTAGAATTATGCACGCTTCCTCCTGAGGCTGTTTCCAGGAAACCTGGCCAAGTTCAAGGACTTAGGGTGGGGAAGAAAAGTACTTTCTCTTTCTGATAACCAGAAACCTCTTATTGCCCCTTATTGGAACCAGGAAGCTTGAAGAAGGGACATCCTTGGATGGATCTTACAGAAATCTAAGGAAGTAAATTATCAATGTAAGACAGAAGCCCGTCTTGAGAAGTTTGGGCAAATGTAAGGAGGAAGAGCACCCTGTTATTTCGGAAAGCCAAATACGCTTTGCTCAGTAGAGCAAAGAATGAGTTCAGATATCATGCTACATCATGGCTTGTTTTTGCCCTGATTTGTTGAAGAAGCCACAGTGCCTGGATTTACACATAATGCTAAATCCAAACCAAACAAATCACATTCTGGCTGTGAGTCCAGCCAGTATGAGAGGAAGAGAAATCATGACAGAGGGGGAAAAGAGATCCAGAGTGGTTAACGGCCTGGTTTTATGCCAGATTCACTCAGAAACAAGTCCTACTGATTTCCCTGAAATGCATTTGAAAGAAAGCATGCTAGGGTCACAGGCTTCCTTGTAAGAGCACTTGCTATGCTTGAAAGTCACCATTGAAAATGAGCTGGCAGATTCTTGAGTAATGCCTTCTGTGTTGTTTTCCCCTGTTTTGCTGCCTGGGCTGCATTTTAACTGCTGATTGACTACAATCCCTAACAAGCTTGCAGTCAGCCTGGGATTTTGAGTGCATCAGCCAACGGGACGGTTGCAGCCATAATCTTTTCCAAATTCCAAAAGCCTTACCAGCGCTCTGGGATTTCAGAAGCCTGTTCTCCAGGCGCCTTTCTGGTCCTGTTGTCTTACCCTTCCCTGTGGGTTTCAGCTGCTTGGGGTGAAATGAGGCCAAAGACACGGGCATTGCTCAGCCACCTTGTGCGCACAGGCCTTGCCAAGAGTGAGAAGATTGTGGACAGGTGCCAGACAGAGTGATTGTACATTAGCTTTTCAGCGTTATCTGAGGGGATCTGCGTGGAAAGGAGCTCTACCAGATCTGGAGAGGAGGTGGGTGAAGACACTCAGGGCTTTCTGGAGACCTGGGGCTCCTTGTTGCCCCTGAGAGCTTTCCCTTTGAGTTGCGGCTTCCAGCTGTCACCAAGCCACAAGACCTCCTTCTGCAACCCAAGCTGGAGATGAACCCAGGTGTCTTGGCTTCAGTTCCCTCTTGCTTTAATTTCTCAGCCCTTTGACCAGTTTGGGATGGAGCTGTGGGTCGCTATTTAATCACCTGCCATTAACTGTGGATGTCCTGTTATTTCGTACTTCCTGCCCTCAAGCCTTAAGACTCACTGCCTTTCAAAGCTTGGAGAGAACATGAGAGTCCTTGTTCTCTTTCCACCCCGTTGCTTGCCCTCCTCTAAGGCCCAGTTGGGCCCTGTGACCTTCTGGATCTCATTAGGCACCAGCTCCCTCTGGTGTCTCTGAATGATTACTGGGGGTGAGGGGTGCTGTAATCTAAGAACATCTGATAGGCCACCAGTTCTCCATCCCTGGTTGTCAGCCCTTCAAGGTAGACCAGACCAGGAAACCAAAGTTATGAACGCTAATACTGTACTACTTTTATTATAAGGTTACAGTAACAGAATCTTGCAAGTCTGGATATGCTTCTCCCCTCCCTCCCTTTATCTTGATGAGAACTAGGGAGGGTCTTGCCTGAGATGCTTTTTCAGGTTACACATTTGGCCCGGATTCAGATTTCTTTCATCTGACTGTTGTCTTGACTGTGGCTCTTCCTCCTATTCCTCAAGGTTATTCCTTCTTCCCATTATCCTGGTCCAGATTCTCACCAGGGGATTGTCCCACTCTGGACACTCAAATGGGGACTTCCACAGTGGAAACTTCTCTTACTGAGAGAAACTCCCTGCAC